TTAAAACTGGATACTTAAATTATGTAAATCGCACGTAATACGTAATTATTTAAATTTTCTGTTTTTATGTATTGTTACTGATATATGAACCTATCTCCAAAAGACAATCTTGAAGCATTGCTATGCTATGTTATTATCAGCTGCGTGGTTCGTTTTAAGATGTGTGGGTGAAATTCTAGTATTTTATTTGGGATGTTACTCAGCTCTAATCAGCAGCTATCTGTGTCCGTGTGACGCATCCATACAGTTTATGGATGTAGCTTGCTAACTAAGTAAGCAATTATCACCAGGTGTTCCAGGTGAGCTAGAATGATCCAGAATGGTGTTCTAGCACCTTTCGTTAATGAGAAATGAAATTGTGAAGGCAGATTCATGCATTTTACTGTCAAATGAGTTATTTTTTTTGTGTGCTGAGATACTTGCTCACTATGAAGAAGATAAGTTATTTTATTCGTTCTCATCCGTGCAGTCCATTCATGGTACAGATATAAATAAAGTTGCAGCTGTAGCATTTAGCTAGTGCTGCGGTAGAGGTCAGATAATCAGTCATACTGTTTGCGTATCGGTGAATTTTAAATGCAACTTGCAAATACCTCAACACATATAATATTTCTGGGTGATTTACAGCTTTTTGTATTTTTCCGGAGTGAGGTTTATGCGCAACACTGAGAGATGGAGAACGAAGTACGAAAGGAAAGAAAAGAGAGAAAGGTGAGAGCGTTTGGTGGCATTTGATCATTTTTAACATAGACATAGTTTTTAAAAATGTTGAAAACTGGACATTTAAATTGTATATGTGATGTTGTAATGCATTTTTAAACTTTTTCTTTTTATGAGTTTTAAAATCAGGTAGTGGAGGTAAATATATATTGTGTGTTTCTGAGTTTTGCAAAACATCTTGCAAAGAAATGTGAAGAATGCTAATGTTCTGTTATTTAGGGATTGCATGAAAATGCCAGACAGTTTAGTGCGTGCTGTGCTGGATATTTTGCAGTGTTGTGACGAAGTTTGCAGCAGTGCACTGTGTTGTCCTGGTGCTGAGCTGTTGTTGTGTTCAGCGTCATCATTAGATCAAGAGTAGCAGGCACCGTTTTACATTTAAGGTGAGGATACTGATTAGTTTCATTTAGTGAATGAATAATACTAGTGTTATAGTATCTCTGGCTGGAAATCAGCCATGTAGCACACTTCAGTTGCTAAATCCAGAAGAGCATCAAAAAAATCTACTGGAGCTGACAAAACAAGTTATTTTCGACAATTTATTTCTAATGAATTCTACACCGCTACAGCAGATCTTAGTGGTCCTTCACATGCTAACCTGAGCATTTTTATTCGTTTTTCTTAATTGCTAATTCAGATTTAGGCCCTAACTGCAGTCACACACAGCAGATGTTACAGGATTTCAGAGGCAGTAATAATGAGCCAAATTCCCCAAATTATGCGTTTTAACCTAAGTGTGCTGCAACTGACAGCTGAGTGCGCTGCAGCGTATGAAAGCACAGACAAGTCGACAAAGACACACGCAAAGTGAGAAAACACCTTTACTAATTTGATAATACACACAGAGCAATTAGGGAAAAACATGCTTCAATGTGAGAAAACACAATGAAATTCAGACAGACATGTTTCCAGGGGACACTAAAAAGTGACGTACACGCTTGGAAGCATTTGTTGTTGCTGTGGTGAATAATAAAGTTAATGAAGTCGTCTGTTCAACTGTGCTGTGAGAAAATGAGCTGCTTTTTTTTTCAGACCACATTTTTCAGATATCGACTGTTAACCCTGCAAGCGTTTCAGGGTCACGTGCTTAAGACTTCGCTTCGACTCTGCAAAACGGACCACAGCACACACAGCAACCTTTTCCCGTCTCCTCCTCAATTCGTAATACCAACACCCCAGCCTGCTACAGCAACCCCAGACAGTTTTCCATTGGTTAGCCCCAAGACACAGAGGAGCATATCTGTAGCCAACCTTGACGTGCTAAACTAGGACGCTGAAGGGGACAGAAATGGGAGGAGAGAGCAGGAGAGTAAGCGAGGGGAGGGGAGGGGAGAGGAGTGGAAGGGGGAACCTAATGAAAACCTGCTGGAGGAGTGGCAGAAATAAGGAAGTGAGGATGGAGAGCTGAGAGGGTTATGGCAAAGAGGGGGACGGAGAAAGGAGCAGTGGAGAGGGAAGGGAGTGAAGGTGGAGAGTGTGAGTAAAGGGAGGGAGAGAATAGGGTGGATTTCTTTTTTTTTTTGGTGATTTGTACTCCGGCTGCATATGTGCCTGGTCTCCATCTCCTCCATTCTCTGCTTCAAAACTGCAAAAATCAATACGCCCACAGTCTAGTGTATCCCCACATGAACTGGATCATTAAAAATATATAATCAAACGCCCGCACGTCATTTTTCATCACCATTACCATCATCACGTATCTGAAGAGCGCACAGATACCAGTATATCACCAACATGGTTGTAACAATTTAATAACCCAATCAATGGCCTTCTAATTATTTCAGTGCCACAGTTAATCGTCCAGTTAAAGCAGTCCTTCAGCCTCGACTCGCGCAGAGAATGGCACACGGAGACAGGCTGCTTGTTAACAAATGCACACAGCAGAACCGAAGCTGGGCTGTTGTAATAAGAATATCTGACTTCTCACATTCACAACTCAATCCAACTCAGGGTCGCAGTGTTGCCTAGTAACGATGGCACACTACTGACCTTATCTACGTGGTCATAAAAATGTATGAAGCCCCCCCCCTCACGCCTTCAACCTCCTCCCCGCCAGCCTTCGCTCAGTCCTTCCTACAACCACACAACAACCTCAGAGCTCTTATCGCCCCTCTTTTACGAGTAGCAAGTAGCCAGGGGCCGAGCATCCTCTACACTCCCCCTAACCCTGCCGGGGCAGCTCTGCGGTGGGTATTCTCTGCCCAGGAGCTCCTGTCTCTTTTTATACAGAAAGGGGGGGGTGAGGAACATGAAAACACTTGAGCCTTCACAAAAAACACAATGCTCTTGTTTCTGTGCACAGTACATGCATGCAGAACACAACAGATACAACGCTGGTGGGCGTGAAGTGGGAGGCTGGAAGGATGCAGATTGCATGCTATGAAACTGATAGATAGCTGTAAGAACAGAGGGACACAGTCAAGCGCAAAGGAGACTGAATACCACACTGCAAGGTGAGTCGGTGCACCAGCCTTCATAATAATATTCTTTCAGAGTGGATTTTCTCTTCAGCCTGCAGTGGGGGTGGGGGGAAACAAGAGTGTGATATAAGTGTGGAAGAGTGTGAGAAAATGTGTTTAGTGGGAACAGAAATACAGTATCAGCACCACAAATATAGTTTATTGATGAAAGCAATTTGCCAGTGAGAGATGAGATGCATCTGATCTCTATCCGCTCGTGAGCCCCGAGAGCCGGGTTCAGCTTTTCTAATTGGGTATCGCCTTGGAGACGCCCATCCTAATTAGGAGACAAACTCCAGGTGTTGCACCTGACATCACCTCTGAAAGTCACAGAGGGAGTGTGACACATACTGTATAAACACACACATCTGCTCCATCTGCTGGCTTTACAATTAACGCAGCCAGGCCGGAATATGTCGAAATTCCCGCAGCAAACTTAAAACGGACAAGAGGAAGGTCTTTTTTATTCGGCTATGGAGGCAGACCATCGAAGTAATTGTTCTTTGTTTTTATTTATTTATTTATTTATTTTTTGGGGGGGGGGCACAAGCAAACCTGAAAGCGATGGCATCTATGGGCAGATTGGAATGGATGGTTACAGATTTCATGCACTATGATAAAATTCCCTGTTAAATTACAAAATTACAGTGAAGTGCTGGAGCTAGATCTGCTAGCATGAAACTGTATACAATATATAAGCTGTGCAGTATGATACTGTCAGCTGTGCGAGTGCCATTTCTTTTTTTTAATTTAGTGTTCTTCCTCTAATCTCCATAAACAGTATATGACTGTAAAATATAGTGAAGCATTGAATAACTGCAACATTAAAAACATGGTAACAACCGCTGAGGTTCTCTGCGTGTCCTCGTTCACACTGAATTATTGTATTCCCTTTCTAAATTATGACATAAGGTGAGCAATTCCCATTGTCTTTAACTGCACAGTCATAATCCTGCTTTATACAACATTTTGACAGCCACCCTGAAGATGAACTCTGGGTATGTGGATGGATGTGACTAATCATTTGTGCTCTCATAACTGAAACAACCACCACAACACAATTAACGTTGTAAACATCCACATTCCTGCGAGTGCTGGCAGGCCTCTCATTTCTGATTTGAGCTGAAAAATCTACATAGTTCAGATTGCACACTACCTTTCTTGTTTCTCTGAGGTATCAGTATTTATGGGATTCAGCTGTATTCACCAAGACTGCTCACTACTGCGCAGAATTTCCTGTATTTACAGTGTGTGGTGAATAGAGTGAATGATTATAAGAAGAACCACTTCATTAAAGAGATCCCACTAGAGAGGAGAACCCCAACAGCATCTCAGTAATGAGGATGTCCACAGCCTCCCACTGCAGTCCGGCCCACAACTACAGCAACATCTGCTCTGTGGCACCCAGCACATCAGGTGGGATCCGCTCTGTTTGAACAAACACAGGAGGCATATGTATGCATATGTACGAGTTAGAGTAACTAGGGAGACTGGTGAGGGTATGAGTAGTGCCTTGAGGCGAGGAGCAGAAGGGTGGCAGGGTTTCTGACACGCCGTGGACTGTTTAGACGCAAGCCTCTATGACTCATCTACGTGTCACTAATGCATTTCCTATGAATGAACAAACAGATACACTGTGGAGAGGCATCGCTATCACCACAGGGGGAAGAGTAAGTGTGAGTAGCCTGTGAGACTAGGATGAGACACCCTTAGTCATACTCCCGCCTGTCTGAGGAGCTAGAGTTGCTGTACAGTTACAAGTAATCGATCTAAAAAAAAATGAAACAGATCAAAACCAGCTGTCTTTTATATGGCTGGAATCATACAGTGTGGTGCCAGTGGATGAGCCGTGATGTATCCATGCACCTGTTGTCTGGCACGTCCCTCTCATCTTATGTAGACTCTCCTCATTTGGGCTCATCTCCTGCAGCAGCAGCTGTGAATATGTGCACCTTGTTAGGCGGTTGACAGTTCTGGCAGAAGGAGAGACGGGGAAGTAGCTTGTTATGAAGAACAGGCTAACTATATGTCAATCTCTGCCGTGCAGAGAAGAAACAAAAACAAAGATGTGCAAAAAAATCCTTTTAATCTCAGCCTAAATTAATTCTTAAAGCAAGCTACGTTGTATTTATTTAAATATTTGAGTCCACTAAACTAAAAGCTAATTGACCCCAGCCATTTTTTTTTTTTGCTAATACACTGCACTGCTGATTAGATACCAAAAAATGAGATTTGCCTGAGAAACATGTGGACAGCCTGATTATGATGATCTGCCCCACTGTGATCCCCATTTACCGCTCATCCAGCTCAATCATATCTGTGCTGTAATTACACTGCATTCAAAATGCTAGCAGATTCAGCAAACCTCTGAGCAGCATTATACACTTACAGTGATTGGGCTGTCTGCAGGCCTGATTATTATAGCCCTGCGTGATGCTTTAAAAAAAATAAAAAGGATGAGAGCTGGGGTCACCGAGAAAGCAGCAGAGCTAATTCGGGACTTCACAGCACAATATTTATTTCTATGATCAACCTGTTTGATAGACCTGCTTATGCTTTAAAATAATGCACTGCGTCGAATTAGACTGGTAAGAGTAAGAACAAGTGTTCAGATGATATTTTGTGCAGTGTTAACATTTTTACAACATCCTATACTTTCTTACACTGTGGCAGCTGATAGCCAGTAATCTTTAGAAATAGTCATTTATTTGATCTTCAAATAGTTTCATTTAAGCTTTTAAACACGTTTTATGCTGCATTGATTTCTTAACAAAAGGAGAACTCACTCATTCACACTCACTTATGTCAAAATTGCCAAAATCCCAAGTTAATTATTAAATCAAACATGTACAATTTTGAAACCCTGTAAAAACAGAAAGCACTTTTTTAATTCCACATGGTTACCATCTACTTACTTTCTTTTTAGATGACTGTGCACTAAATATATTTTCACCTGCTGGTCAGGTAAAATCAGACATTTACATATCTGATGTCAGGCTCGAGGAAAGTTTGACTGCCTATAAAAAAAAGAAAAGAAAAAAAACCCCAGTGAGTTTAAAGCAGATTAATCAATAAGAAAAACATAATTTGCTACAATATAATTTACTTTAGAGAACAAAACTATGAGAATTTAATAAATATATATTAAATTCATCGTGGTAATTAGTTGGCATAATGTTACATTTAGATGTGCATCTGTGCTTAGACGTCGATGTTTGTTGTTGAGGCTGAGGAGGAGGGCTTGCATTTGAGACAATGTGGAGCAGTCTCCTCCTCTCATCAGCTGTAATGATCAGAGCTGTGAGGATTAAGTACCGATGTCCCAGTAAAGGAGCTTTGCAATGCCAAATGTAGGACCACTGGCTCCCCTAAGCTGTCTAATTTGCTCATCCACCAGATGCTACAGCTCTCCTAGATTGGATTAAAGGCACAAAAAGAGTGTTGAGCGCCTTGTTGTGGGCAAAAGTGGAACTGCAGGGAGAGGCTTTAGGACCAGATTAGAAACATTGAATTGGATATAAGACAGGCACATTATTAAAAATACACTTTATAAAAGTCATGAATGGGTATTTTGTCATAATTTACATTCTTTGATGAATCACTTTTGGTCTTTTTTACCAATGAGTCTTTATCTGATGGAACCTGATCTCTACGAAACCGAAGATTAAATAAAAGGAGTCTTTTCCATTAGATCTGTTTGATCTGATCATCATTACAACTCTTTAGCTAAAACTTTTAATTTGTAATTGGTACACTTTTTAACGTGTTTACAAATTTACAAGTATATTGTGGCTTTAAATGACATAAAGCTCCACTTCTCATTAGAAGACTTCATAAACAAAACCAGGTAGAGAGCCCTAAAAAGTTGTTAAACTCTTCAGTCAAAGGATATATAACATACCTCCTGATTTTCTGCATTAAGGGGTTAGTAGGCTACCAGACAAATGATGCATTAAAGCTTCGTCCTGTTTTTAAAACTCTCAGGGTAAGGAAATACCCCAAGGTCCAGGGAAGAAGAAATAGGAATTGTGCTTAAATGGGTCATTCACAAGACCCAGTGCATGACAAGCAGTCCACCGGAAAGATAAATTTTTGTGGTCACAGTAGTTTCCCACATTATTAAGGCTAATATAACTATAGCGATTAACTTCAATGAGGGTGTGAGACAAGCATGGGTGGGGGACAGGGAAAAGAGCCGAACATGTGACACTACTGTGTACTCATGAGGTATTCAGTGTGAGACACTGGTTGTCTGTGTGTGGAAACAGGCAGCATGGAGAAGACCTGTGACAGCGATCTTGCCTTCCTTTCTTACTCTTTCTCCCCATACGCTGTCAGTGCCGAACCGAAGCCGTCTCAGCTGAAACATGCAAGTAAAGCTTTCTAACTTGGGGAATGAAGTCTTGCAAAGTTGAAATGCATACACAAAAGTTTTGTTCCCTAATACTGTAGTGAACAGTTCACAAGTTGGTGGGTGGATATATATCAAATTATAACTTGTTTGACAAAGACAGTTTCTGTAGTTTTCCATGTTTACCCAAAGTATTCACTCACCCATCCAAATCATTCAATTCAGGTGTTCCAATCACTTCCATGGCCACAGGTGTGCAAAATCAAGCACCTAGGCATGCAGACAGCTTCCAGCGCGGTACCGTGATTGGATGCCACCTGTGCATCAAGTCCAGTTGTGAAATTTCCTCAGTACTAAATATTCCACAGTCAACTATTGGTGGTATTGTAACCACTAAAAGCAAAAGTAATAGGCCACATAAAATCAGAGGGTGGGGTCAGCAGATGCTGAGGTGCATAGTACACAGACGTTTCTGCAGAGTCAATCACTACAGACATTTAAACTTGTGTTCTTTAGAATAAATCAAGAACAGTGCATAGAGAGCTTGATGGAATGGATTTTCATGGTCAAGGAGCTGCATTCGAGTCTTACATCATTAAGTCCAATGCAAAGTGTGGAATGCAACAGTGTAGAGCACCCCACCACTGGACTCAGATCAGTAGAGACTGGCAATCTGATGGACAAGCATGGGTTTAGCCATTGCCAGGAGAACGGTAGTCATCTAACATGGATGAGAGAGCTTGGTGTGGAAGACTTTCAAAGCCATTATAGCTGCAAATGGTACGCTGACATTATATTAAACGCTATGGATGAAGAATGGGACGTGGCTCAATTTCATATATGTGTGAAGGTAGAAGATGAAACACTTTTGTAATATAGTGCATCTGAACATGATTCAAGTGTTGGATTTGTGTTTCATAGCTTTTAATTGTAATTTAAAATATGGGAAGCCATCATTAGCCTGCAAAAAAACAAACAAACCCTAAAACCTAAGAGAGATAGGAAGAACTTCAGGATTGGCCAAATCAACAGTAAGGTTCATTCTTAAAAAGAACGAATGCATTGAGTAGCTCAGCAACACTACAAGGCCTGAAAGACCACAGAAGAAAAATAAAGTGAATGATAGGATTATTTCAATGCTTAAGAAAACATCTAACCAATAGGACTTGAAGAGGCAGGCGTCTCAACCAACCAAGAGATGCCCTCATGAACGTAAATACAGAGAGTTTTCATGGTGCAAACCACTGGTTACACTCAGAACAAGATTATACACATAGCATACTTGGAGTGTGGTGTGCTAATAAAAGATACTGGACATGTTACCATTTATTCAGAGGCTTATAACCACAAATCATTTTGACCATTTTCTCAAGTGTGGTGTTAAAAATACAAAAATAACTAGACATCATGGGTTTTCCAATGCACAAGGCTGAGTACTTACAGGTATTTTTATTGTAGACTTTCAGATATACACATAAGTTAAACAATGGAATTAAGACTTCTAGTGAAAGCCTAGTTTCAGCGTCCTAAATACTGATATAACTTGAACTGAGTCATCTTTGTAGAATATCTTCACAAAGCCCTTACAAACATGGGTGGAGCAATAAACGAAGATATAAAAATGATGCTGTAAATTCAGACATTACCGACAAGACATTTTATAATAAACCTTTCCATAACTAGGCAGAGGCTCAAGCTGCTGGGAGGAAACAAGAATAGTGTCTTACACAATTAATTTGAACACATAAGACCTTAAAACTCGCAATGACCGCCTGGGGGGCTCTTCAACTGGTGGGGGGGATGGTCACATCTTGCAGGAGCTTTCTTCTCTTCAGGAACTCTCTGCAGGAGGGGGAGATACAGGAGAGGTGGAGGAAGATC